GCGGAAATGGACAATCTAAACGAAATTGAGTCCGCGGCTAATGATGCAGTAGCACGTTTGGGGCCCTTCAAGTCCGGAATAAAGTATCGGTTAGCGTACAAGCACTTCCAAGAGTGGTGCGATACAAGAGGAGTACGGCAAGTTACCGAAGACGTTTTACTGGCATATTTTAATATAATGAAAAATGAAAATAAATGGAAATCTTCTACAATGTAGTCACGATACTCTATGATAAAATCCGAGTTAGTTATTAGAAAAAATGTGGATATAAGCAAATTTTTAAAGTTACGTGCCTTTCTGAAAAAAAAACAAGCGAAGGATATACTGCAAAGAAGTCTAAAGGTTTCACTAAAGACGAGTTTGATAAATTTTTGTTTGAAGGGCCAGATAAGTTGTATTTAGGATTAAAGGTAAAAAAAATTATATTGTAAAGCATGTAGTATACTCTAATAAATTATAAAAATATTTCAATTATCAAAATCCCAGACAGTAAAACACGACAAATTAGATCTTTTACGATAATTGGTCAAAACTATATTAAACTGTATAACAAGTATGCATCACTGCGGCCTGAAAATTTTACAGAAAACCGATTTTTTATCAAGTACCAAAATGGAAAGTGTTACCGAAGCGTCATGGGAATACATTCGATCAGTGCAGTAGCCCAAAAAGTATCTAGTTATTTAAATTTAAACGATGCAAGCGCATACACGGGTCACTCTTTACGACGAACTTCAGCAACACTTTTAATTGATGGAGGCGGAAATCTAGAATGCCTCAAACGACATGGGGGCTGGAAATCAAGCACGGTTGCCGAAGGATATATAGAGGATTCAATAAGAAATAAGAACGATAATGCTCAAAAATTTTTAAACCCTCATGATTCGCCAACATCGGGAATGATTGCTGAAAGTTGTTCTCGACCATCACTATCATCAACAATTACCAATGCGTATCAAGAGTCGGGAACATTTTTGCACGGTTTCAATTTTGAAAATGCCTCATTAACTAATTGTACTTTTAATATTACTATAAATAAAAATGATGTTTAATTGTTGTTAATGACATTTGTATTGTTGCTTTGTGACATGTTTCATATTGTTGCCATGACAACATTTTCCCTCCGCCGTAAAGTGATGGGAAAAAAACCGCTGCCGGCGGAGACATCAAACTTTGACAGGATCAAGTTAGATAAGTAATGTCATCATTATTTGACGTTTGAAGAAAAAATAAGTTTATGTAGTTGGCAGCATTGATAGTCAGATTTATTACAAGAACAACACGTTTTGTTTTAAGCAGATATTTCGTCATCTTCTAAAGTTTATATGTAAGTATTAGATCCTATCAAGTTATGTTCTTGATTTATACTATTTCATTAGTGTTATATACCTATAAAAAGGATAATATACTTTAAGAATGTATAAATAACACACTTTTCTATTTTCAGAATGATATTTGAGGTTATGTTACATAGTTAGGATGTGTGGAGAGCATCGAGCAAAAAGATAAAAGAGGGAATCTAATCGTTATGAAAAGTAGACCAAAAAAGTGGCCTCTGATGGCGGACATATCCGGAAATGCGAATGCGCCAAATTTAAATTTTTCGACACTTATCAACAGTAGCTATAAAATAGTTTTTAGAACGTGTCTTAGACGAGAAACTTTACATAAATATAAACTATTACAGTCTAAAATGTAACATAATTGTTAATAAACTTCAATATGAATAAGATTTCATGTGACAGTTGGGACAAATAATAACATAACTCAACTAAATTTGATTTCGTAAACAAGGAAAGACTCTCTTTCCTTGTTTAATGTGACCTCTCAAGATGGTACTTCCTGTCTAACAATATTTTTGCCCCCACTACCTTTATATTCCTTCTTTTGTCTTTTTGCTCGATGGTGGAGTGACTAGAAACACAGTAGGCAGCTGTTTCTATTCACCCCACAAATCCAAAACCCCTTATTTTTTTGTTTTATTAGTGGTAAATAGCAATGACACATGATAATTGTTTAGGATACATATTATATTTAACAAAATATCTAATATACTTGTTTACTTTCAGCATGCCAAGGAATTACAAATCTGTGAAACTGAAGAAAATACAAAATCCAGTTTTTTTTTAGAAAGTTTTAGCACAGAAGGCCAATGGTCTCAGGAAAGCAAAGAGTAAATATGGCATCAATTCTACTGGTCTTTATAGAAATGTCAGATAGGGTGATCAGCTAAAAAAGATGGGGTCATAAACCGCTTTGACTGAAGAGGAGGAAAAAACTTTGGTGAGTCGCCTAATTATTTGTAGTGAATGTAGCTATCCCATTGAGTAGTTTACTTTTAGACTTTTAATTAAAGATTCGCATGACTGTTATAGCAAGACCATAAAATAATTTAAAGATAATTGTCAAGTTTGTCTAGTTTTTCTTGAAAAGCCACCAGGCTAGGTTGTCATTCCGATTATGCCAAAACATAAAACGAGCCAAAGAAGCTCCGGAAACAATTAATGAATACTTTAACAGACTTGGAGTAGAAATGGTTAACATTCCTTTAACGAATATAATCAATTATGACGAAACTAACTTGCGATGATCAAAATCCGATGATCTGGACAGAAATAAACTAATAGCTAGACAAGGATGTAAATATCCTGAAAGGGTGATGAATTCTACTAAAAGCTCCATCTCATTGATGTTTTCTGCTACTGCTCATGGTTAAAGTTTATCCCCTTATGTAGTGTATAAAGCCTTCAACTTGTATGAAAGTTGGAGAGAGGGTGGTCCTGAGGGGTCTAGGTGTAAAAGGGTCAAATGTGGTTGGTTTGACAACTTCTGTTTTTCAGATTATATCGAAACCATATTCTAGACCATATGACGGTACAAAATACTTAATTGGAGACAACTTAGCTAGCCACTTAATATCATACACACGTCTTCAGAAAACAATGTTGATTACATATTTCTACTAGCAAATTCGATGCATTTAACACAGCCATTAGATATAGCATTCTTTCGGCCAATGAAAATTGCATGGCAGGCAACTGTTGCTGATTGGAAAAAAGGACCTGGATGATATGAAGCTACTATACAAAAGAGTATATACTATAAACTCTTAAAAAACGAAGTACCTGCTAATTACAAAAAGACTATAAAATATACATCACCTATTGGCAATAAATGGTAACGTGATAGAACAAGTAGAAAATTATCAGTACTTAGCAACTTTGATAATGAAACCAATGATCATACTATAGAAATAAAGAGGTGAATAGAGATTGCCAGATCAGCATTTATACGAATAAAGCCACTCTTCACGTGCAAAAATCTAAATTTGGAGATCAGACTACGTACCATTCGCTGTTATATATTTTTAATATTATTATATGGAGCTGAAACTTGGACATTAAAAAAATGCAATTAAAAAAAACCGAGGCTTTCGAACTCCAGTTATACCATAGAGTATTAAAAATATCATGGACTGATAGAATTACAAATAAAGAAGTACTGAAGAGGGTTGGTAAAGAAACAGAACTAATCAACACTATACAAACCAGAAAACTAGAATACCTAGGCCACGTGATAAGGGGACCAAAATATGAAATTTTGAGACTCATAACACAGGGAAAGATTCAAGGAGAAATATCTATTGGCCTAAGGCAGATTTCATGGTTAAAACATCTACGTGATTGGTATCAATGCAGATCGATTAATTTGTTTAGAGCAGCAAATTCTAAAATAAAAATAGCCAATATGATTGCAACTCCACCTAGCATAAAACGTGTGAAAATTTCTCTTGAGCATAGAAAAAGTGTTTCTGAGGAAGATTTTCCAATTTGCAGAAGATTCAGTTCAGGTCGAACCTACTGGTGGTGCTAGTACCAGCACTGATAATGGGAGTTCTAGCACGTCTAAAAATAAAATAACAATCAGGTCAAAAAACAAATATGGAAAAATAAAAAAACATAACGATGTTAATTCCTGATTTGAAAAAAATCAGACTATTCTCTTCAAAATAGTGATGCAGAACTTATTCTATCTGACTCAGAAGAAACTGATATGGCAAACTATGCTGAAAGAACTTGACCTTAACCTCAAGGTTAATGACTTTGCAATTGTGAAAGTATATGGGAAAACTAAAAATGTGTTTTTATCTGGCCTTGAAGACAATGTTATGTATGACACTTTACCAATTAAAGAAGAGTGCTTTTGCCTGAAGGACAATGTAATGAAGAAACTCATGCCGCCATCTATTAATTAAATTAACTTTACTAGCAACGATTCATTTTGTCATTTGCAATTTGATATTTGGTCATTTATAATTTGATATTTACATTACATACATTTTTTTATCAAAACAAGTGTTGTTTCTTTTCACCCCATGACAGTGATGACTGTTTCTATAAGCCCCACAAGTTCTGCGTTGAAATATACTTGGAAAACAGTGTCTGTTTCTATTCACCCCACTCAATGGAGTGAAAAGAAACAGCATGTTTTAATTTGTTTCCTTGTAATTAAAGGAAAGAAGAAGAAGAAGAATTAGAGGAAGAATGTTGTAGGTGTTACATATTATATGACACTTTATGTCAGATTATACTACGATCATAGAGACATATGACATCTGAGCTAGGGGAAAATAGGTGATGTTAGATAGTTTAATAAATGTGGTCATAAGTTAATCTTTTATTATTTTAATTTAATATTAATCCAACTTGAAAAAGTAGGTTTGTAGAGGACTGTCAGGCCCATAAACCAAGGTAGCTTTCAACGTCTCACATTTCGTATTACTTTACGTTCAAATTCAATTTATGTTTAAAGTTAAAAACTGTTTCTATTCACCCCATTTTACGGAACCCTAATATACCTTTTACAACTTTCAAGTATCTGTGAGATTCTAAAATGTTTGCCTAAAATCAATGATTTTTTCACAGATAGACTTGTCTAATTAACTTAATTTGGATTCTACATTTTAAGTTTTTTTTATTCTAAATACTTCCAATAAACAATGACAAATTATAATAAACTTTATTTTCATCATATTTAATACAATAAATATAAAAACAAAATACCAAAAATGTATTAAATCGTCACGTAAACACTAAACACGATCTTCATTACGTCTAATTCCTAGATTACTTAAAATTCTAATATTTTTATAAGATCTTTCACCCATCCTAAAGACTATAAAGAACTGTACATAAAATAGCACGCCTATAAGCAATATCACAATGGTTATTAAAATAAACATCCATATGAGCAACGTATTGTTGATGTACTGGTACTCCAACTTTTCAGCAAACTCCTGAACTAGCTGCGAGGCGGAGGCTTTATCTAGCTTAGGACATGACACTGACTCTGGAATGTCAGATATAAGATAAGTGACTCCATCGCTTTCTAGTAGAGCTTCCAACTGAGATATTGTTTTGCAGGAAAGTCTATTGTACATTAGATCAATATGTTTGAGGGAAGGTACTCTCATAATTAAGCTCATATAGTCCAAGTCATTTATATTGTTATTCGAAACATCTAGGCTCATTAGGCTGGGTAAAGAAAATCTTCCTGTAACTTTTAGAGTGTGTATATTATTCCTCGATATGTTGAGCACTCGTAGATGAGGCAAACCAGAGAAAGTACCAGTATTGATTGTGGTCAATCCGTTGTCATTTAAATTTAAAATTCTTAACCTAAACAAACCTTGAAACAATTTTACTGTTAAATTATTAAAGTTGTTATTGCTCAAGTCCAGCTCTTCCAAAAAATTTAAATTATTGAATGTACCAGGTCTAAAGCTTTTACCATTGAGGAAGTTATTAGCCAAAGAAAGTGTTCTAAGCTGATTTTCTGGACCTAAATTAGTAGTAAAAGTGTACATATTGTTCGATTCTAAGTTTAGTAAAAGTAATGTCTTTAAGTGGTTAAACTCATCCCCATAAACAGTTTTTATAAAATTGTTCTTAAGTTTAAGAATCTTGAGGTTAACTAAATCATCAAAACTATTGTTAACGTGTTTTAATGCATTGTCACTTAAATCTAAGATTCTTAAATTATGCAAACCATCGAAGGTACCAGCTTTGATTTCTTGCAATTTGTTATTTCTTAAAATTAAAACTTCCAGAAGATAAAGGTCTTGGAAAACTTTAGGTTCTAGATGATTGACAGTGTCCTCCATATCAAGGTACTTAACTTTTCTTACACCTAAAAATGCTTCTGGATAGACCGCTTCAATTGGGTTGTGAGCCAGTAGAAGCTGCTCCATATAAATCATTCCTATGAACGCTTTGGGCCAGATTTTCTCAATACTGCTGTTCCTGATATCCAGTGTTTTGATTTCGTTACCAGGAATATCGAAAGTGCCTTGCTCCAAAGATTTTAAAGAACAGTTGATGCATTGCAACGTCTCATCCAGGTAATCGAACCTATATGAGGTTAGTTTGAAGTAATATGCCGTGGCGTTAAAACATTTTGCAGTAAGTGAGCCTCTTGGTCCATAAACGCATGACATGTGATTAGGCCATGAAGATAGTGAATATGTGGAGTGAACGAGGATGATACATGTCCATATAACCTAAAACAGTAAAAAAAAATTAAAGAATGCCCTTTTAAAATAGTTAATACATAACATGTTTATAGTATTTTTTAGATAAACATTGAGGTATGTTTTTTAAATGTGATTGACGTGTCGTTTGAATGTTTACTGCCAACAGCGTCTTGGATTTTTCTCTAGTTTTTTAGAATTTCTAAATCATTCACAGTATTGTACAGACTTTGCCTTATGATACTGTCATATTCCGCTATAAAATCAACGAACAAACAGTACATACATAGGTATTAGGGTGGAACGAAAAAGGCCAAAAAAATAAAATAAAAGAAAAATGATTGTGGCTATCGTTTAAAAGTTGTGTCAGGTAATGAAAACAAACGGTGCGAAAGCATTTTGAAATAAAAAAAAATCTTGAGGTTCCATATTGGATTTGAAAAATGAAAAAAACAAAAAAAAACATTTTTGTTGAAAAAATCGATTTGGCTGTGATCAACAGTCGTCTTTAGGTGTGAAAAGCATCTTATGCAAAATTATTTTGAAATTAAACGATGTTTTCAGGTTCCAGAGGCGTCATTTGATAGGGTCAAGGGGGCATTTGCCCCCTCCTCCAGTCCCTGAAAATGACTGAAATTTACAAAAAACAGGTCAATTTTGTATTATGTTTGCATATATAATGTATGGTATATATAATGCTTGCCCCACCCCCATATCAAAATTTCAAATGACGCTTACAACGCCAGTTGTAGATCAAGTAGGTAGAGAAGGGAAAAACGCAGACGCAGATGTTACATCAATCTTGCAACCATTCACGCAGGCATAGTGACACAACAACAGATAACAGTAATGTTGAGTTTCTTATCTCACACAGACGTGTTGTATACAAACATATTCTTCGAAATGTCAACACGAAGTAGTTTGAACTGTGAAATACTAGGAACAATTATTGGTGTTTTCAATGATCGTGTTTTACCCACTAAGTGTGACATTCTAAAGTGCTTTCTCTTCTAAGAAGAATTCATTGCCCCTTTGTCAACAGTTACAGTCCAACCATCTACGTTACAAATGCAGATTTGCTTGCCAAGTTTAGTTTCGGCGTGCGACAGAACCGGGGTCTCCGATCGTTCTGCTGCAATTATAGCATCAGCGATCTTAAAAGATATGGGAGTTATAACTGTGACTGATACATCGAAAGTAATTGATAGAATGAAAATAAGGCGACAGCGTGCATCTCATAGACGTTCACTCCAGAAGCAGAAGGAGGGACTGTCAATCAGAAGTATATTTTTTTATGGGCGTAAAGACAAGACTGTCTTGCAACAAAAAAAGGCAAAAAGTTTTATAGAAAAGTAGTTACAGAAGAACATGTAACAATTGTTGAAGAACCAGGCTCTCGATATCTAGGGCACGTGTCTCCTTTATCAGGATTGGCTGCAAACATCGCGGATAGCATACAGACATTCATCCTGAAAAATAATATTGATATATCGAAGTTAAGCGCAGTTGGATGCGATGGTACGGTACTGAACACTAGCCCTCAAGTAGGCGTTATAAGAAAACTGGAAGAATACTGCGGCACCTCACTTCAATGGCTAGTATGCCTATTTCATTGCAACGAACTACCTCTACGTCATTTAATACAACAGTTAGATGGACGCACCAGTGGACCACTTGGTTTTTCAGGGCCAATAGGAAAACTTCTGGAACGCTGTGAAGAGAAAGCTGTCGTCAATTTCGTTGCCATAGAAAACAACCTACCAGTATTATTAGAAACAACAGACCTTAGTACCGATCAGAAGTACTTGTACCAAATCAGTCAAGCAGTTTCTACAGGAAAATGTCCTAACGATTTGAGCCTACAAAAACCTGGGAAAATATCACACGAAAGGTGGCTGACAGCTGCTAATCGGTTGCTTCGATTGTATGTTGGCACTGAATTTCCCAGCCCTCAATTAATTATGTTAGTAAGTTTCATCCAAAAAGTGTATGCACCAGTTTGGTTTTATATAAAACTGTATCCTAGCTGTTCTGATGGTTCGAAACATTTATGGCGAATGATCCATTATTCACGATTTCTACCAGTTGACCAAAGAAAAATTGTCGATGCAGTTATCCAAAGGAATGCTTATTTTGCCCATCCCGAAAATTTAAAATTAAAAATAAAAATAATAAAAATTAAAAATAATAAAAGATGAACGAAAACATATACGGGAGCTAGGACTACGCAGAGTGCTGAAAGCTAGACAAAGTCAGAAAGAAAAAAAGATCCGGAGATTTAAAATACCAACACTAAATTTTAGTGCTGAAGATTATATTGACTTAATTTCTATTTCTGAATGCAGTGTTACGGCTCCGCCTTTGCTAAAACATATTTCCAATAAAAATGTAAGGGATATGATTCATTCCGGGAATCAAAACAAAATAGAGGTCTTAAACTGCCTCTGTCATACCCAATCTGTCGAAAGAACTGTTAAGTTAGTAACTGAAGCATCAGTTGCTGTTTATGGACCAGAATCAAGGGATGGCTTTATTCGTTCAAGGTTGCAGTCTAGAAATATTATGCTGTTTTTAACACAAAATCAGACTACCAATCATAAAATGTATATTATATTATAAAACAATTATTTTGATTAAAAAAACTAATAAAAAAATACATTTTTTAAATTTTAATTTTTTTTGTTATTTCCAAAAATTTAAATTCAATATGGAACCTGAAGATAGGGTCAAATCCAAAAAATATTTTTTACAGTTTTATTATACATCAAAACGCAACTTTTCCGCACTAGCCCCAAAAAAAAATAATAACTTCGACTTTTCGTTCCACCCTAATAGGTATGTTTCTTAAACTCTTGGGATTTATCAAGAATTTAACGTATTATGAAAATCTGGTTAGTACTTAAATGTCCACGTTTGAAAAAATTGATCTATTGACCATTAGGATTGTAATATTTGAATAAACTAATGACATAATCAAATAAGATGTCAGATTAAAAAACCTATATACGTACCTACTAGATACATAATTTGCTATGGAAAACAAGATTGTCCAATATATGGATACCTGATATAAATAAAATTGTAACTTTACTTACAATGTTTTTAACTATGAATTAAATAACATCTATAAAGTGTAACCTTTATTTTGGTCTAATAACTTTTATCCTATTGTACCGAACTTGCTTTTTTAGAAGTAGCCCATATAACTATCTAGCTATTAACTTATAAATAAATAAATCTACGTAAATTAGAACTGATTGTTTTATTTAAAAACGGTACAGAGGTGTCACGGTGTGAGATTTAAAAATAAATTCAGCAGAGACTTTAAAAAAAAACTTTTGAAAAGTATTGTTCGTCAGGAACATCCGCGTAGTTCGGTAGTAACCTTTGTAAAAAAAAAGAACTTTTAAAGTACGTGTATACGTAACCAAAGCTACTGCTAGTACAACTTTCAGTAAAAAGGTTGCTTGAGCAACTACAAGTATGCGATAAAGACTGCAGCGGGTCCAAGACGATACTCTAAGAACGACTGAACAATGTCCTCAACAAGAATGGAGATGACCCAAATCCATTCCATTTTCAATCATCAGAAGAAGCAGTTTTAACGAAAATAAATGAGAAATTTGAAGATGTTTCTTTAATAATTAATAATAAATTCGAAAATGTTTCTAGAATATTCGACGAGAAATTTGGAAATGTTTCTCAAATGATGGAAGAAACTTCTAAAAAGAACAGTGAGAAATTCGAAGAGGTTTATAGAACATTTCATAAAGTAGAAGAGAATATCAAACAGTTAGAGAGCATTATACACAATACAAAAGTGCTACCAGCAGTTAATGCTGTAGTTTTAGATCCTGTAGTAAAAGAAGCATCACCTAGAGACGAAACGACACATCTTATGAGATTCAAATTGCCACCATTTGATGGAAAGTCTTCTTGGTCCATATACCTTAGACAATTTGAAGCTATTGCGACAGTCAATCGTTGGACAGAACAAGAAAACGCTGTTCCTTGACTGCTGCTTTACGAGATGATGATGCGGATATCCTAAGATCGATTGCTAAGGGCCAAGAAAAATATTACCAGACCTTGTTCACTCGACTAAACAAACGTAACGGAGATGCCCATTTACAACAAATCTACAAAGTACAAATAAGAAGTAGAATTTAACGAGCAAGTGATAATTTAAAAGAATTTGAAGCAGATGCTGCTCATATAGCTCGGTTGGATTATCCGGAGGTACCAGACAACATGTTGGAAGAAATTGCTGTAGATACCTTCGTTAATGGGTTGAGAGACAGTGAACTACAGAAAGCTTTATGACTAGTAAGACCAAAAGTTTTAGATAAAGCGCTCGCCATGGCCTTGGAACACGAAACAACTAGTTGAGCTTCACGGAGCTATGGAGTACGAACCTCTGAAGAGAGCAACGAACAAAGCGATAAATGACTGGAGGAAATCGTACGGAAAGTAGTTCGTAATACGATGCAGAAGAGACGCGAAACGTATGTCACATTCGCCGTAAATTGCAAAAAAAAATAATACAACAGCCAGAAAGATAGAACAGATCGAACACCGGGCTGGAAAAAGTCATTCAAATGCTGATGCTCAGTCAAGATGGCCATACAGTGCAAATTGTAATCACTGTCTCAAATTAGGAGAACGAATTTGCCCCGTGAGACGAACCACCGTCATTAATGATCAATGGAAGCCTAAACAGCTACAAGACGCTCAAGCAGATGATCCATGTATAAAAAGAGTATTGGATTGGATGCGTTGAAGTGACTGATGGCAAGAAATTAGTGCATGTAGTCCAGAAGTCAAGTGTTACTGGAGTCAATGGAATTGCTTAGTGCTAAAAGATGATCTTTTGTATAGAACCTGTGAGAACGATGATGGTACAGAATCTAAGATTCAGTTAATTGTACCTAAAAGTAAAGTGTCAAAAGTATTGCGTCAGGTAAACAATTTAGTATTACGAAGACTCTGCAAAAGGTTCGAGAACGGTTCTATTGGGTGAACAGTGAAGA